GATATCTGGTCATGCGGAGTTATTCTGTTTGTTGTAATGGCGGGATTTTTACCCTTTTCTGAAACAGAATTACCGGCATTGTACAGAAGGGTGAGTAAAGGCTCTCTTTCTTGGGCCCATAGGAATGGTTTTGGAGGGAAAATTCCAGTGCTCTGCATACTTTGTCTTTTATTTAATTACTGGGAAGTAGGAACCAGCAAATCATGAATTTTCTTTTGAAAATTTTCATTTTCCTTGATCAGGTTGATGTTAATGTTCTGTTCATTAGGCTTGAATGTACATGGATCAAGAGAATAAAAGGAACTTCTTGTCATGCATTTTGGAAAAATTCTTCCATTTAGCTGTTCAATTCTTGTCACTGTTTTAATGGTTTGTGGCCTTTCCTTTCATTAAACAGATAAATGCTGCAGAATTTGCTTGTCCGCATTGGTTTTCCGCAGGGGCAAGGTCTTTGATACATAAAATACTTGACCCCAATCCCAAAACTGTGAGTTTTTTACTTTAGCATACTAATGCATCTCTAAAGTTTCTCATGGACCTTTATTTAACATTTTATTAATTTTCCTGTTTCTACCATTATCATTACCTATTAGAGCAGCGTATTCGAATTGAAGAAATTAGACAAGATGCTTGGTTCAATAAATCCTATGTGCCCGTCCGACCAAGTGAGGATGAGGAAGTGAATTTTGATGATGTTCGTGCTGTTTTCGATTGCATCGAGGTTGGTTTTTCTACTTCAATCGACTCTTGCACTTTTATATTCCTTATCATTCAATCTTTTCGATCATCATTAGTTTCTAATGCTATGTGAAGTCTTTTTGGATCTCTTATATGCTAAAGAAAATAATGAAGTGATAATAAAGCTGAAGGAGTTGAGATAGCAGCAGATATGTGCTGATTCTGGTTTAAAGTCTAAGAGGGCTAGGTATATATAGTAATCAGATTTGTTTTCCCAATTGATCTAACAAAAATCTATAGGAACCACGAAAATAATGTAGCTTGAAGAATTTGGTGCGAACCTGACCATATTTACATTATACCCGATTGGGGTGTTATGTATTGTAGTGTATGCATTGCATGGTTCAGAAGTTTTATTTCCCTTAGCTTAATACTTAATTTCTCCATGCATCAGGGACTTTTTAAAGTTTCTTGATACTCTGAATCTGCTAATTGAGAGCAATAACATGTGTTTTTTTGAGTATGTATTTTTTGACCAATGTGATTTCACAGGCGAGTTATGTAGCCGATAATGTGGAGAGCAAGGAAGGGGGTCCGCTGATGATGAATGCATTTGAGATGATTACCCTATCCCAAGGCTTGAACTTATCTGCGCTATTCGATAGGCGACAGGTAATAACTAGCTGCGGTTTTATATTATGGTCGCGAGTTCTGAAATCTCGATTAACACAGTCTGGGATGAGATTTATATATTTGATAAGCTTCTCTGTATGATCGTCTGTGTAATAGTTACTATAAGTTTTGGGAGACAGTTTATAACTTTTCATTTGCTGATAGAAATGAAATCCAAAACGTTTTTTTTTCGCCATATTCGTTAGCAGCCGATCCTTTTATCTTGCAGGATTTCATAAAAAGGCAAACCCGTTTTGTTTCACGAAGACCAGCCAAAGTAATAATCGCTAACATAGAAGCTGTTGCAAACTCAATGGGTCTCAAGGTTCATACACGCAATTATAAGGTAACTGAGTCCTGGAAATATACTCATTCAAATAGATAAGATGTTTCACCAAATATAAAAACTAATATATAGAACAATGGAATTGCCTTTTTTTTAGCTAAAGTCCATGATCTGTATATACAGCCGAGCGAACATTGTAAAAATTGTTTGTACCTCTGTTAACAAGCAAGAAACTTAGATTTATTTTGATTCTGGTTCATGGGCATGGGCGGACCTATACGTATATGAGTGGGGGCACTTGCCCCCATCCACATTTTAAAAAATAATAATAATTCTTATAACTTGGTGAAATTGGTTGGATTTTATTCTGATAACTTCAGTTCTTGAGAGTAAATATCTCTTCAACATGAACTCAATATCTACATCAACAATTTGATGGAAGATGATAAAATTTTAAATTTGACTAATCTTGCAGATCTTACTGGTGGAAACAAAGAAATATCTTTCGTATCCATTAGTATACAGACTTTTGAAATTGACTTTGATTTTGTTCGTTCCGTTGTCATCGCAACTGTTGAGAAATATTTGAATTTCGTAAACACAACTTTGTGCAGTCAGATTGGTGATCAGTGATTATCTAATTTTTTTATCGAAAAAATATATTTTAGACAGTTATAAAATGAAGTTATGGATAGATTTCAAAAAATCAAAAATCGTAAAATTTATTTGTAAAACGAAAAATATTTTTGTGATGATATATTTTTATTAGCTTTTGTATTTTATATAATATTTAAAATTGTTGCCTCCGTTGAAAAAAATTTCTGGATCCGCCACTGTTCATGGGCTCCTTGTTTTTCTGTAATCAACAGACGAGGCTCGAGGGATTATCTTCAAACAAGGCCGGACAGTTCGCAGTTGTGATAGAGGTAATTTCTGTTGTGTTAGATTCTTTTTTTCCCCCTCGAAATTGGTTGCTTCTATTGAAAGTTATCTCTTCAACAACCGAGTTCTATCTTCACGCAGATTTACGAAGTGGCGCCGTCTCTTTTCATGGTAGACGTCAGAAAAGCCGCCGGTGAAACTCTCGAATACCACAAGGTTAGTCAAACTACCACTTTACAAAGCCTAATCCAGATTCTGGTTCTACGTATAATTGTTTGAAACGGCCTTTCAGGATAGATGAATCATATAAACCTCGAATGCTTACAGAACTTGATCAAGTAATTTCACTCTTAGAACTCCAAGAACGCATGTCAATCCTAAATCTAAGTTCATGTGAACATTACTTTGCTTTTACGCATATATAATAAACCAGCACGTCCCGAAGTTTTAGGATTTAAGCGTTAATACATGAATGAATGATTGTTTCACATTCCGAGAATTTTTTATTTTTTGTGCCCGGACAATCTAACCTATCGAGACGACTCGTGTGGATGTTCGGTTTTTGCAGTTCTACAAGAACTTCTGTGCTAAACTTGTAAACATTATATGGAGACCGACGGAATCAACGCCAAGCTCAGACCTACTAAGAACAATGACTTGCTAAACCTTGTCATTATCCCGATACACGGTTCTGACCGAGACCTCGGTTATGTGTATTTTCGCTCCACGGGCTCTCGTGTTTAATACCCTTCTCAGCTACCCGACGTCGATTTCAAGTAAGTAATGTATAAATGATCTCTCTCCTATTCAGAGTTCTTCGCCGTTTTAGGGTACAAATGACAATAAAGAAAAAGGGTTATTTCCAGAGATTGGGTGGTGTGTGTGTGTTTGTGTTTTGAAATGATTCGAAGAAATGGTTTAAAAGACGATTGTTTCACGTTTCGTTGATGGATTCAGCTGCTAACTGTGCAGTACGACTTGTTCTGTCCTGTGAGAGAGAGATAACGCGGTTGTGATGCAGCGATCAGAAAACGTGGTTATAAATGTGGTTTAAACGCGACAAAAGATTGTGGTTGTCGGTTGCGATTGTATTGGTCCGCACATCTATTAATTTACATATGTGAGTATGAATGGCTGGCTGAGCGAAGCAAGAATTAGGGGGATTAGGGGGTGTTTCGGTTTTATAAAAATATGTATTATTCGGTTATAATATTATGTTCGACTCGGTTTTGATTCTAATTCAGTTCAGTTCTGGTTTTTATTAAGACAAATTTAGATTTTTTTTTATTTTTTTATTTTTTGGGTTTCTTAAAATTTGATTCGAAAAAAAATAATGCATTTTTGGGTACCGTTTGGTTTTCAAACGGCCCCCTAGGGAGATTTGAATATAAAATTAGAAAAAAAATGGAGAAAGATTTTCATTATCGGACAAAAAAGGTCGACAGCCATTTTTTTTTTAAAAATGAGTACAAAACATAAAATGTATTTTATTATATATACAGTAAAAATTCGCACCCTTTTCACATTCGACGGGAACAAAGAGATGATCGCCTTTGGTCTCATGAACGTTATAGGCTCATTCACGTCTTGCTACTTGACAACAGGTAACTAACTCATTATATATATATCTTGATTTGATGATCATACTTTAGTAATTGAGATCGAATTAGACGGAAGATATTCGTCGATCTTAACGTTTGAAATTGATTTTTCGACAAATTATAGGACCCTTCTCAAAGACAGCGGTGAACTACAACGCGGGGACAAGGACCCCGATGTCGAACATTGTGATGGGGTTCTGCATGATGCTTGTTCTTCTGTTCTTGGCCCCGATCTTCAGCTACACGCCTCTTGTCGCCCTCTCGTCCATCATCATGTCGGCTATGCTCGGTCTTATCGACTATGAGGAGATGTACCACCTCTACAAGGTCGATAAATTCGATTTCCTCGTTTGTATGACCGCCTTTTTTGGCGTTTCGTTCATCAGCATGGACTACGGCCTCCTCATGTCGGTACGATACACAGTGATTCTTTCTCAATTCCAAACCCGAATGGAACTCTTTCTTTTTGAAGCATTGTTTCGCGATATCTTTTTCTGTAACTATATGTGTTGATTGATTGATTAGGTGGCGGTTTCGATTGTGAGATCGCTCTTGTACGTTGCTCGACCCGGGACATGTAAGCTGGGAAGAATGCCGAACTCCGTGACGTACAGGGATGTCGAGCAATACCCGGCTGCTGAGCAAAACGCCGGGTTCTTGATTCTCCAATTGGGTTCTCCAGTCTATTTCGCCAACTCTACCTACGTCCGCGAAAGGCACGAGAATCTCTCTTCTTCTCCTTCTTTCTCCTCCTCCTTTTTCGATCTTAAGAATGCTTTCTATCTTTTTCATAGGATCCAAGAATGCATGCATACTCTCATTATCATAGAATTCGAGGAACATAAAATGTTTTATAACCAATGGAAATACATGCATATATAGTTTTAGACATAACATTCTAGGGTTATTGCATGACAGGATCTTGAGGTGGATCCGGGATGAGACCGAACCTGTCGAGTTTCTTCTTCACGAGCTGTCGGGTAATTACATAACAACATTAATTTGTTCCATTACTTACGTGAATCACAATAATTTTTTTTTCTTTTCATGCTTATAATTTACGATGGAGTTTTGTAAATATCGTTAATAGGAGTTTCGGCCATCGACATGACCGGGATCGAGACTTTGCTGGAAGTCCGAAGAATTCTTGGAGCAAGAGGCATTAAGGTACGTAATATCGAACCCTACAAATACGTCCGAAGAGAGAATATAACATAAACATCACTAAAAATTGTATAGGAATAGTTTATTTATGGAGTTATAACGTTAGGTTAAGACCGTAGGTACAATATATTTACAAATTAAGAAATGTTTTTTTTTTTAAATTTAATTGCAGATGGCAATAATAAATCCAAGAGTGGAAGTGTTGGAGAAGATGACATTGTCTCATTTCGTTGAGAAGCTTGGCAAAGAGCACATTTTCTTATCCGTCGAAGACGCCATCCAATCATGCCGGTTCTCTCTTTCGTCCCTTAAACCGGAACCCTAATTTCCCTTCTTAGCAATTTATCTTTTAAAATCCGGTTTACTTTGGTGGTCGGTTTATGTGAGGGGTTAATAAATGGGGCTTAAATCAAATTTAAAAGGGAAAAACAAAAAGAAGAAGCTTGATTATAGCTTTTGGTCCATTGTGACGATGGAGGAGGGTTCTGCTCGGAGAAAAGCTGCTCGTTCAAATGGAGGGTTTCAAGTGCCTTAATTATTTTTTGTTTCTCTCTAAAGCTTTTGGCACTTTTTTCTCTTGTGTAATAAATATTTCCGGTGTATCTGGAATTGAGCCTCTGATTCTCCTTTTTTCTATTGTCGAATTCCATGATCTTGTATTCCGAAAAGAATATATAAAAACAAATTCTTTTTTTTTTAAATTTTATTTTTTTAACAAACAAAATCTTTGATGGAGTAATTATAAATTCCATCTATTGAAGAATGAATCAAAGTGCAGTGAATTATTATAATAATCTTCAATTATTCGATTAACCAACATTTTGAAGACTACTTAAAAATATATCCATGGCTAAAAAAATTAAAGGCGGTTTGGTTTAGGATTTTACATATTTTTAGTTTTATATTAATAAAAAGTGAACGATGATTCTGCCGTCTTATTTTACTGGTGACGGTCCAGATCGTTTTAACGGATCGACAGATCAGATCGTGTCTTTTAATTAACGGTTGAGATCATTTCTGATATTCAACGGTCAAGATGACATATTAAAATTGACGGTCCAGATCGCATACATTCATTAACGGTTCAGATCATGTCTGATAATCAACGGTCAAGATCATATATCAGAATTGACGGTTCAGATCGCATCTCTGAATTAACGGTTCAGATCAAATCTAATATTCAACGGTCAAGATCATATATTGAAATCGACGGTCCAGATCGCATCTATGAATTAACGGCTCAGATCATATCTGATAATCAACGGTCAAGATCATATATCAGAATCGACGGTCCAGATCGCATCTATTAATTAACGGTTCAGATCATATCTGATAATCAACGGTCAAGATCATATATCAGAATCGACGGTCCAGATCGCATCTATGAATAAACGGCTCAGATCATATCTAATAATCAACGGTCAAGATCACATATCAGAATTGACGGTTCAGATCGCATCAATGAATTAACGGCTCAGATCGGTTATCATATTCAACGGTCAAGATCATATGTCAGAATTGACGGTCTAGATCGTGTCTATGAATTAACGGTTCAGATCAACTATGATATTCAACGGTCAAGATCATATATTGGAATTGACGGTCCAGATCGCATCTATGAATAAACGGTTCAGATCATATCTAATAATCAACGGTCAAGATCACATATCAGAATTGACGGTTCAGATCGCATCAATGAATTAACGGCTCAGATCGGTTATCATATTCAACGGTCAAGATCATATGTCAGAATTGACGGTCCAGATCGTGTCTATGAATTAACGGTTCAGATCAACTATGATATTCAACGGTCAAGATCATATATTGGAATTAACGGCTCAGATCACATCTGATAATCAACGGTCAAGATCATATATCAGAATTGACGGTTCAGATCGCATCTCTGAATTAACGGTTCAGATCAAATCTAATATTCAACGGTCAAGATCATATATTGAAATCGACGGTCCTGATCGCATCTATGAATTAACGACTCAGATCATATATGATAATTAACGGTCAAGATCATATATCAGAATTGACGGTTCAGATCGCATCTCTGAATTAACGGTTCAGATCAACTCTAATATTCAACGGTCAAAATCATATATTGGAATCGACGGTCCAGATCGCATCTATGAATTAACGGTTCAGATCATATCTGATAATCAACGGTCAAGATCATATATCAGAATTGATGGTCCAGATCGCATTTATGAATTAACGGCTCAGATCAATATTGATAATCAACGGTCAAGATCATATATTAGAATTAACGGTCTAGATCGTATCTATGAATTAACGGCTCAGATTAACTCTGATATTCAACGGTCAAGATCAGATATTGGAATTGACGGTCCAGATCGTGTTTGTAAATTAACTGTTCAGATCATATCTGGTAATTAACGGTCAAGATCATATATTCGAATTGACGGTGGACTATATGAATTAAACTTCAGATCAACTCTAGTATTCAACGGTCAAGATAATATATTAGAATTGACTGCCTATTCATTTGAAATAATCGACGGTCCAGATCCTTTAGAAGGTAAATTGAATGATTAATATATTTGTAATGGAATCCTTTGTTTGCAACGACGCAAAGAGCGTAAGATCGCCGGCGATGATCGGAGATATCCAGAAAATGGTGGCCGTCGGCTTCGTCTGGGGCGCCACCAACGCCCTGATCCGACGCGGTGCGATCACCTGGGACCACCGGAAATCCCAAAAAACTGGTTCTCCGCCGCAGATCTCGCTAGTCCTCCGCCGGAAAATCCTCTCAGCTCTCGGTGGCTGGATCGATCTCCTCCTCTTCTGGCAATACTCCGTCCCCTTCCTGATTAACCTATCGGCCTCCGCCACATTCTTCGCGCTTCTGAGCCACGCGCCGATCTCGCTCGCCGTTCCGGTGACGAACGCGACGACGTTCGCCGCAACCGCAGCGTTCGGGATTTTGCTGGGAGAGGAGACTAAAATCGGACTGGCCTTCGTAGGTACGGCGTTTATTGTGTTAGGCGTTTGGCTCTGTAGCAATGCAATTTGAAAAATCTTCACTGGTGACATTGTGTGTCGTAGTTTTGGGTATCTGATACAATTCGTATGAATACACGAGGAAATCTGAGGTTTAGATTCAATAAGAGCGTAGCCCTGTTTCCCAATCCTTTGAAGATTCAAATCGATGGTGTAAAAGTGAGATATTTATCGTAGAAATTTAAAAGTAGAAATGAAATTATAAAAATTTATACATGAGGTTAACATAACAGACTACAAAAACTATACAGTCAAATTAACAAAAGACTCATACTCAATTAAAAAAAATAAAGATATAATATATATAGATATATTCATAAAAAATAAAAACATATAAATACATATACACACACATAAATATATATACACATATACACATATACATATATATATATATATTTGTACTTGTATATATATGTGTGTATATATATAGTTTATATTTTTAATATTTTTATTTTTTATGAATAGATTTATATAGATTATTTATATTTTTTAATTGAGATTTTTATGAGACAATGATGATATGATATTATTTTTTTAACATACTACAATGATATATCATCAAAACTTTTAAATAATTAAAAAAGTTAAAACTAATGTAAAATTATAGAAAAAATTAGAAAGATCATATATGTTTTTTAAATTCGAAAATACATTATTTATATATAAAAATGTGTATGTAAATTTAACTATTTTAAAAATAAAAGATAACTATAATATTTAATAATATGATTTTTAGTATTATCTTATAACTAAATTAAATTTTTATAAAGATTAATGAAAACAAATCAACAATAGGACATTCATAATATATCATTGATATCGGTTTAATAAAACCGTTTACAAAAGGATATTCATATTTTTTCACTTCTTTACTTCTTTAAATACGTATTTTACAATAATTTAATTTTATAATAATATTAATTCTAAATCAAACAAATAATATATATTATGTTTTACTAAATCTATATATACATATTTTTTAAAACAAAAATATATTTTTATATTTTTATTTTTTCAATTTATTATTATTAATTTATTTATTATTTATTAATTTTTATTTAATTTTTGATGTGACAATGATATGGCGATGATTATGAGAGATTGATATTTTTCGTTGCCACATAGGATTTTCGTTTGTCTACGTGGCGATTATTTGATGCTAGAGATTTTTTGGCCAATAATTTGAAAGTATAAAATTTGTTTCGGGATAAACCAATTGTAGTGATTTTTAGCTAAAAACAAGTATATGTATTAAACTGAGGTAAGAGAAAAGTACAGGTATTTTTCGGAGATTAACCCAAATAAAAAAGATTAATTGAAATAACCAATAATCATTGTCGCTAGAGCCGTCTCATTATCTTTTGTCGTCTTTGCCAGATATTTTAATGTCTCTAGCTCAATGGCAGGCAGAGGAGGGAATAACAATAACGGTGGAGCCTTCGGAGGATGTCGAGGGAGAAAGGATTGTTGGAGCGATGCAGTGGCGACGATGTTGATCGAAGAAAGTTTCGTGATCCTTTTGGGGGAGAGCGTAAACAGTGGGATGATTCCGGCAAAACTTCGATGATCGATATACAATCTAAGAACAAGATCGATATGATGAAGAAGAAGTACAAGCAAGAGAAAGACAAGCATCACCACAATGGGCAATAAGATCGACAGTGATATTCTGTGTATTGGTTATATCCTATTCATTTATACCCGAAAATAGATATGATTACGGGATGATCACAATCTCTAAACACATGCCAAAAATCTGTTTTAGTTCATTAGCTTCTCATCAGATAGTTTTGGTTTACTATTTTCATTTATCCTTTATTCAATAAGATTATAGTCAAACTCACTTTTCGATGTCTCATATTAGAGTCAAATTAATGATGTTAAATTTTTATTAAGTTATTTAAAATGATATAATATTATTTTTAAAATTTTCGATGATTTTTGAAATTTCTTTTTGTAATACATAGTGAATTTTAGGAATAAATTACCGAAAATCAAGGTAACTTGATTGATCAATAGTTTTATTTATAACAAATTAAAAATCCAATATTTTTATGGAAATAAAAAATCTATCTATATATATAAAAGTTGGATTTGGAGAGATTTGGTGAGGACACATGGGATCCACCTCATCATCTATGTGGCAACTATTTGTCTGTTTTCTTAATTTTAATTAGTCATTTAGAATCTACATTAGTCCAACACAATTATGATTGGAGTAAATGGTAGTTATTGTATTTTTGCCAAAAATATTTATATTGGGAGTATGAATCAACCAATCAGACGAATTGGTTGTGGTACATATCAATATGATAGAATTAAATGATGATAAAGTTTTAATTAATTACAACCTTATCGTATGACTAACGTAACAAATTAAAAATTAAAAATTTAGAAAAAGAAACGGTGACAACTATTCATTTGCCCACTAAAGCAAAAAAAAAGGTGGTCTATTAATTAGCAATTATATCTGCTCATTTTATAATAAATTCCATTTTGATGTATTCTTGTGTACCATCATTTCTTTTTGCACCATCTATTCGTTGTTGTTGTTTTTTTTGGTTAAAAGGTTGGTT